GCACGATGCACACCGCTTTCCACCGCTTTCCACAAGGAGAAAACCGCAGCCTTGGGCCGTGCCCCTTTGCCAGAAGTTGAGAGTTTGAGCAGTGTTTTATGAAGAGAGTGCTGAGACTTTATCCGACCAATAGACCCGCGAGTAAACCATAACCAAATGCTCAAATGTAGCACAGGAAAATTTTCAGCACATCTGGAGTGATTTCTGTTTTTGCAGAGAATCCCAGGGTAGCTATGGGAGAGGATTCTAAGCCTTGCTTTGTGTGTGTGTGCTAGACAAAGACTCGGAAGTCACAGTTTGGATCTCACATTAAAAAACAGCTCAGGATCTTTGCAATTTTCTTTTTCCTCAACACAGTTATGTTTCAGATTTGTTCCCTTACAGGTAACTTTTTACTGTTTTCTTTATCCGTTTCCAGCTCTCTACTTGTGGTTACCTTAACCACTGACACTTTAATGAGAACTCATGGGGATGTTGGATAAACTTTTCCAGTTCGCCTGGGTGAAGCGTGGTGGGAGGAATTTCTCTCCACAGGCTTGCAGCACAAACGGATGGGATGTGTAATAGTTATGTATCTTCCTGGGGCATGATTTGATACTGTGGTCTCTCTACTTAAATCTGAACTTGCTGTTTTCATTGTTTCCCGGTTTTGAAAATTATAAAGGAATCTTTCCAAAGTAGAAAACCTATTCCTAGGAGCAGAGGAAAGGGCGAAGCTCTGGTGTCTGTACAGACTTCTAGGGAGGAGTGTAGGGACGTTCCTTTTACTTTTCTAACTCCTTTACCAAGCATTAGAAATCTGTGGCTCTCCTAGCTGCCCAGATGTTGGAACTGCCTTTTTTCCCTGATTTCCTTTGTCAATATGTGGTTTAACTTCATGATAGGCAAAGAGGAAAGAGGAAGTCTGATATTTCTTCTATCTTATTTTTGTGCCACCCTTTTTCCTAACATGGAGACTGTATTGTTCCCTTGCTCTTCTTGCTGACCACTTCCTTTGAGGCACAGAATTGTCAGCTGTAGTTTTATTCTTACCCAGCTCGGTCTGTAATTTTGCACACTTTTTAAAATGGTGGCATACCCCAGGAGACGAGAATATAGGTGATATGGTTAGTTGTGGGCACTAATTATAGCAGCTGCTCTACAGCACAGGTATGTTTTGGAGTGTGAACTCCATAAACCCGTGCACAGGGAGTGGTGGGACACGCTGAAGGCAGGGCAGTGCTTGGAAACAGCCAGAATTCCCTAGCAGGAAGCCCTGTGAACTGTTCCATGATCTCAGATTCTGTCTGGGATTTTTTGAGATGCCTCTTGGGGTAAAATCTGTGCTTTTCCCCTGCCTGCAGAACAGCATCTGAGAGGTGAGCAGGGTGCTGAGGGTCACCGTGGTTCCCCAGCCTTTGGGAGGACAGGAGGTGGCTGCTGTTCCTGCAGCACATTTCCCTCAGCTCAGCTCCTGCTTTGCACTGTGGTTTCTTCTGGAGCAGGTGCTGGAACAGCCCTGCTGTCCCAGAACACAGCTGGCAGTAGGATTGCTCACCTTTTCCAGGTCATCCTGTCCTGGGGAGGAAAGGCAGGAGTCTGTTTCCTGGCTGCTGTCATCATGGGTTTTTGTCTGTAGTGTACAGTCTTGTATGACTGTAGGCAATATTCACTGTTGTCAGTTGATTTCTGAGGGGTATGAGTTTAGCCATGTTCTTTTCTGGCTTTGGACATAGCAGCTTCAAGACTGAGGTGAACCCTTAACTGATGGAGCCAGGAAAAACTTCCCTGCAGGCAGGTTCCCAAAATTCCCAGTGCACCAACTTTGGAAGTGCTGTGTTCTGCTCCCAGCCAGGACTTGCTTGCTCTATTGCTTGCCTGATGAGGTAAGGTGCTTTCTGCTGTGTTCCTAATTGCAGCTGAGTTTCTGCTGTTACACGGTTGGCTGCTGTTTGAAATGCCAGCAGAAAGGTGGAAAAAATTGATTACTCTCAATACCCAAAGTGTTTCCAACACCCTCTCCCTTAAAAAGGACTTTTATGGTAATTGCAGCACTGATGCACAAGATTTTCATGGTGGTGCATCCTCATTGATATCTGCAGGATTTTTGCTGCCTGTAGCTTATGTGAGGCTGTGCTTGATGAGCCACAGTTGCTGCAGCAGCCTCAGGGGAGAAACAGGAGTTAAACTTTGTTGCTCTGCTTCACCTTTTGTGTGATAAAGAAGTTACCCAGAGAACTGGGGTCTGGCTGCTCTGAATAAAAACTAAACCTCTTAACAGGACAAACAGCTCCAGAATTCCTTTTCATTGCTCAAGTAAGGAATCATTTCTCCTCTGCTGTTCAGTATCCCTGGTTGAGATGTGCTGTTCATGCCCAGGTGCTCTGGCAGGAAGGTGCTGCCAATGATGTTTGCAGCTCTGCTCAGAGTGCAAGTGGCTCATTCCTTAGGGGACTTTGCTTCTGCTGAAATAGGTGCAATTTCTATGGCAAAACTGGAAAAATTCAGGGAGAACTTCATCAAAAACAATTTAAGCATTTTACTCAGGTGGGGTTTTTTTTCAAAAGGAGGGAATAGCTGTAACCATAAATACCAGCTGTATCCAGGAAAGGGAGAAGACCAGTTGTTAAAAGCTTTATCAGTAGTATTTAATCTTCAAATTACTACTAGCAGGAGCTTCAGGGTCACTTTTAAAGTGAGTTTGTGGCAGAAGGGCCAAGCTGCACAGGCTGTTTGGTTTTTTGGCTGCTCTCTGTGAAGCTGCTGCTGTGGGCACTGTCCTGCAGCCACTCACCAGCGAGGAGGGGACATTTCCCACCAAGGCTGGGCTGTGTTTACTGGGCTCTGTCTGCTCTGAGGTGGGAAAAGGAAAATACTTCATTCTGTGGAGATGTAGTCGCTGAGAAAAGTCCTTGGTCTTTGTTTTTTCTCTTCCTTCCTTTTTGCTCTGGTTTTGCCAGGTGTAAAACACAATTGTCAGCGGTTTACACGGAAGGGGAATGTCAGTTTTCCTGTTGAAGAAAATATCAAGGGTCTGATTGTGAAAGGAAAGGGGAAATTGAAGAATGCCACATGGCTTCCACCTTCCTGTATTTCACCCCGGCACAACTGGCCACTTTGTCTGCAGATACTTGCTAAATGGAGAAAGATTTTAACAAATGATTCTGCCCTTACTCACAGGGACCCACCAAGAGAATCAGAAGGATGTGTTCAGTAGGGCTAAATTAACAATTAAGAATTATTCAGTAATGTCTTAACATAGGATCCAAAGAGCAATGGAATAAAAGTCCTGAAATTTAGGTTCTTGTTCTTAGTGTAGTCTCACTTTGATTTGATTTGTCCTGTGGTGATCTGATTGTTAATATATTTCATTTTTTATTTGCCTCTGAATGTGTTATTGTAGATCATCCCCCACTTGCAAACTGCAGTGTTCTTTTATATGAAGTATTCTGAACTTACCAAATAATAAAAAAAATATATATATATATATATAAATTCTGAACCCTTCTGTTTGGTCATGGCTGGAGCAACAGTCTGTTGATGTTTATGGCCAATCTGCCCAGTGCCAGTTCTGCTCAGGAATATAAATTATCTTCCAGCAC